GGGGAGGGGGGGGGGGGACATCATCTCCACACTCGGCCGGGGGCGCACCTCTCGCATGTTGGGGAAGAATGCCTTGCTCTTGCCCGGCTGCGGGGCAGGCTTGAGGTCGTCCGCAGGGGATGGCCCGTCAGTGGCCGCAGCGCCGCTGACCAGGGTCGGCGACTCCTTGTCAGCCATTTCCAAAGAACGCGCGAAGAAAGGGAAGTGGCAAGGGGGAAGGGCGAGAAGGAGGGGAGCAACAAGGAGTAGGGGTCGCAGGAGGGAAATGAGTATCTCATGCAGTCACACCTCCCCCCCGCCAGGGCCAGCACGGCCGCCCCCCAAAGAAGTAACCCGCCAGAGACACTCCGAATGGCCGCTCCGATCGCCCGCCAGCCAGAGCCCGCCCGAGACAAGGCAGGGAGGGATGAACTGTCAGTTGGCCGGCGCTGCCAACGGATCCACATTGCCAGCGTGTGCCCGCTGGGTCCGATCTTTGGCGCACCATCGCCAGCCGCGCAGGTCGCCCGGAAGCGCGGCCTCACCCAACACCCGTTCCCCCCTCCCCTCGCCCCTCTGTTCCACACACGCGCGTGCACACATCTGTGGCCTCCCGTGTCTGTCTCGCCTGTTCTTTTCCATCCTGCTCCCCCCCCCCTCCCCAACACCACTCGCTCCTTCTCTCTCTCTCTCCTTCTCCGGCCGCTCGTCTCTCGGCCCGACCTGGCCATGTCCTCCTCGCAGCCGGCTGACCGGCCATGTGGGGTGTGTAGTGTACCGGACGCCAGCTACCGGTGTTCCATGTGCCAGGTGTTCCGCTTGTACGGCCTCCCGATTCATGGCCGTTGCTTGCCACCGGCGGAGGATGCCCCGTCGGGCTGCCCATTCGCCCGCTCGGCCTTGACTGACTCGTTCCTCGCTCGCCGCCCCTCACCCCCTCCCTCAGTTGCAAGGTGGCCTGCTTCCGGATACACAAGGAAACCTGCGCCCTGAAACGACCGGCACCCGAGAATGACCCGGATGCCAGCCCCGTCGCCAAGCGCCCGCGAGCATTGGCTCGCCTCCCGGTTGGCCCGTTGGCCTCCTCTTCGTCCAATCCATTTGATGACGGCATTGACTCCTGGCGCGGCGCGTCTGATCGTCAACTTGATGAAGCCGGTGCGTGAATCGTGCCAGCATCACTGGCTCTATGCCCCGGGAGGGAGGGGGGGGGGAGAGGGGGGTGATGGCATTGCCCTTCCATCCCGGACCCATCCGTCTCGCACCGTCTTCCATGTACTCACCTCCCGGACCGGCTGGAATACGCAAATGCCCAGTGACCAGCCCTGAGCTTCGCAAAAAGTTCGACAGCCTATCGACCGAAGCGGCAGCCCGGCTGCGCATGCTCGCCGGACAGAGCTCCCTGGCGACTGGGACGGCGTCGACACCGAGCCCATACTTCCCGGCCACCGTTGGGGACTTCCGTGGCAGTCCCATGGACCAGGCCCTTGTGGAGCTGCTGCATCCTGATGCGGCCACCAGCGCCGGGGGTGCCGCACGCATGAGCCACTCGGATCTGCGCGTTCATCGGGAGATGGTGGCCCTGCTGGAGGTGGCCATCCGACAGGCTGGCTTCTCGGAGCTTCTTGGCGATGAGGATCTGGATGGGCGGCCTGGCGCGGGTGGTGGCACCGGCGGCCGCGGCGCCACCTCCGCCCCTGGCCCGGTAGCTTCGCTGCTTCGCGAGCTCCTGGGCCAAGGTGGCGACCCCTCGCTGGACTGTGGCACTGCCCTTCCCCTGCCGCCGGGGCTGCGGCCGACCGCACCGGCATCATCACCGGCCACGGTCCGGGAATTGACCAGCGAGTCGGCGGACAAGTCGACAGATGCCCCATGAGCGCCTTCTCCTTCCTCTGCTTTCTTCCCCCCCCCCCTGTTCCCCGCTCGATCTGACGCACCAACAAATGGAAATAGACCACACGCGGGCTAGAGTGCCGCGCCAATTGCATTTGTCTATTGCCAGTGAGGCACACAGGTGGGCGCCATGGCCCGGCTGTGGACCAAGGCGCTCCTCTACATGATGGTGCACCGACTCCCACCGGCGGATTGGGCGCTCTCGCTGTCGGCCGGCGCACTGGAGGCCACCTTCCGGCGGATGTCACTAATGCGATCATGGGCATCGCCCTCCCACTCTTCGTCGGGGATGTGGGACTGGCCGCTGGAGAATCCCGGGGCCTGGGATTCCAGCGTGGCCATCTCATTCATGCAGGACTCCAACAAAGCACGGGCATCGGGCGAGGGAAGGGCATGCTGGAAGCAATCGGCCGCATTGCGCAGCGATCGCGGAACCGTGACATGACACTCGCGAGCCAAATCGACGGCCGAATAGCGCGTCGAAAGGGACTCCACCGGGACCGGGGCCGGGTCGTCGCCGTTGGTCGAAGCCGACTCGCCGTCGGCCGGCGCCGGCACTCGCAGGTCAAAGCCCCTGCGCCACAGATTCCCCGCATTGACGGCTGCCACGTAGCAGATCCGGAATGGACCAGGCCCTGGGCGCGAGGCCATATCGGCCGGGAGCTCGCGGGCCGCAGCCTCAAATGCCACAAGTGCCAGGGCTGGGCGGGGGTGCGCCGTGTCCTCGGACACCACGGCCTCCGGGTGGGCCTCGGCCGCCGGCAACCCCCGGCCGGCCAGCAGCTCGACGCCCAGATTGAAGAGGGACTTGGCCAGGACCGCCGGGGTTTGGGCCGGCTGGCCGGCAGCCGGCACGACGGCCAGACGCCGCGCCCCCAAACAAGCCATGGCATAGTGCCCGATGGACAGGCGCCAGTTGGCCGGTCGTTCAGGCGCCCTTGCGGCCCCGCCGAACTTCGGGCTGTTGGAATGCAACAAGGCCAGGGTAAAGTGCGCCTCCGGGTCCAAGACATCCGACACAATTGACGACACGTCGGGCCGGTGGCTGACGGCCTGGCGGGCAGGAGGCTGCCAGCCGGCCGTCTGCAGGAGAGCCGAGCCGAGCTCGACATCCCGACTGGCCCCGGCGTCGCCGGTTAAATGCATGAGACCTGGCCCGAGAACAAAGGCGAGGGAGGAGGGGGAGGAGGAGGGGGGGGGAAGAAATACAGGGAAAGAGAGAAAGACAGACAGATGGCAGCACATGACGGGGGATGAGTATGGCGCGACCGCGGGGCTGTGGCGAGGGAAATGCCCAAGGGCAGCGGCTGGAGAGGCGTACCAAGGTATCGGGCAAATTCGGCGCCCGCGTCAGACAGAACCCCATCCAGATAGAGTCCGGTGACTCGGGCACAGAGGTTGAATGCTGACCGCTGCCCCGGGGTGGGGGGCTGGGGGTTGGAGGACGCCGGGGGGCGAGGGACAGCGCTGATGGCGGGTGCCGGCGCCTTGGCACTCGGGGGATCCGGTGTTTCGTGCAAATCCGCCATGTACAGGGCATACAGAAGCTGAGCCATGCCCGGGGTCAGACGAAGGTAATCGGTGGGCAGCTTGGTGGCCGCCGGGCGGAAGTGGCCCGGCTCGAGGGCACCCACGCCGGGGGGCAGAAGCCCGGCACCATCGGCCGGCAGCAAGCCCGAGTTCAGTGCCGCCAGCGACAGGTCAACCAGCCCGTGGCCAGCGTCACGCCCAAGAACATCCTCCAAGCGCTGTGTCTGCAGGGCGGCATGTGTCAAGAGGGCCTGGCGGTCAACCCACCCGCCAGGGCCATCCCGGCGTCCGGGGCCGGCGGGGGCCTCCGGGAAGAGAAGCGATCCGGTCTCCAGCTCGGCGGGCGAAAAGGCCTGGCGGTCGGCGAGCGGCAGGATCGCCGACCGGAACAGCCGGATCACCGACCTGGGGCTGGAACAGAGAACCGGCCCGGCCCCGGCTCCGGCCGCCGGGCTGCCCACGGAGCTTGACGCCGGCGAGTGGAAGAGCAGGCCCAGGTTGAAAAGGGCCCGGGCATTGCCGAGATCGGCCGCAGTGCGAAGGAGCTGCCCGGCCGTCAACAGGGCCGCATACCGCGGGCACTCGGGGCCGAAGGGCGCCGGCGACATGCGCTCCAGGGCCCCACTCTGAGCCAATCCCCCGAGGAGGCTCATGCAGTGAACATGCAGGGCCCGGCCGGCCAGAAAGACCAGCGGAGCCGGATCTATGTTGTGACATCAGGGCGGGGAGGGGAGGAGGGAGGGGGGAGGGAGGGGGGGGGGGGCTCCGGGAGCCGGGCAACGTCAGCACATCAATGTAAGACGGAAGCGGGGAGGGGCCGAGGCATGGGACGCGATGTGTAGACACATATACATAGATAGATATGTAGGCGGAGAGCAAGAGAGAGAGAGAGAGAGACTAAAACAAAAGGTGTCGCAGGACGCTGATCGCCAGACAGAGGGACGCGTACAGGTGGAAGCCAGCGCCTCGGCCGCCGAAAGCGGGGCTGTCAAGCGGTCGCACGCCACCAGCCCCGGGGCATTGGCATCAGGGGATCCCGCCCACTCCAGGGCGACGTTCAGTCCGATGTGCAGCACATTGTCCAGGAGCTTGCCCAGCGAGCCGGCGTCCACGGGAAGGTCCCCCATGGCGGCCAGGTCGGCGGCCGGGGCCGTTCGGAGGAAGGCTTGGAATTGGGGAACCAAGTCCCGACCAGGGGGCAGCCCGGCGGCTGACAAATGCCGAGTATCCAGGAAGGGCTGGTGCTCGGTCAGAGTGCCTGCCTGGGACGAGGCCACCGGCATGGCCGCGAAGCCTGGAGGAGATGAATGGAACATGGCCGCCCGAACGCAGGGCAGGGTGCCAGCCGTGAGGGCGGAGGGACCAGGCCCGCGCCCATCGGCGCAGCGACCGGCGGCCGCGGTGGAGACCGCCGCTGCCGCACACGGCAAAGAGCCGGGCCGCCGGGCGAGAGAGGCAGCCGCGGCAAGGCCGCCGCGGCAGGCGTGCGCAGCTGTGCGTGCCACAGGGCTGTGCATGAGCGGCAGGGAGAGGCAAAAGGGTGGGGGGGGGGGGGGGAAGTGTGTTTGTGGGTCGGAAGGAAGGAAGGAAGGTGGTAGGGAGGGTGCCCGATCGTGCCTGGTGGGAGTGCCAGCGAAAAAGCCCACCTCTCACGAGCCTTGGGAGAGGAGGGGGGCGGGGGGACCTCCTCGGGCAACAAACGTGTGGTCCGCCTGGCTCACCCATGCGCAGTCCCCCCGCCCGGTGGCCCGGCGATGGTGTGACCGCCCCGAGTCCTGAGATCCGCCACGCGCCTGCACGTCCGGTCCGAAGGCGCGCGGAGAACCGGCACCCGAGGGGGACGGGGGATTCATGCGAGGGAGCACCCTTGTGATGGATCGGTGCACATGATCCTCAACGGACACACGTGCGCGCGTTGGTGATATATCGCATCGCCAAACCCCGCCATTCCAGCCCCGACGGCCGGAGCGTCGGGAGCTCCGAGCACAGCCCCGTAACTTGTGGGTTTTAATGTGCCCTGGAGCCCGAGAGGTGCCCGCGGCTGGGACAATGTGGAGTCCAGGGGGGCCGGCACAGGCCGGGGAGGGGGG